CCCGCGTTCGGAATTCCGCGGGTTAAACCCGTGAATATACGGCATTGATCGCGAGTCCGCCTTACTGCTGCTCATTGTCTTCAATTCCAGTAGAGGGTGCAAAAACTTCTCTCTCTCTTTCGTTCTTTTTTGGTCAATGATGTCACTATTACAATTCATGGAACTGATTTAATGACTCAATGCAAACAATACCGATCATTTTAACGATTTATTTTGACCATTATCCCGCGGTTAATTGACAAGCAAATCATTCTATACACAACCAATTCCAATGTATGTATATATGTAGCGAAGATTTATTGGAGATGTATACTGCATCTGTGATAATAAGCCAATGTGCACGAGCACAAACCTCTAACATAAAGCATGATAGGAAACCCAGTACTTACGGTTTTTTAACTCCTCTGACAATTTTTTCCTTTAACATTTTCTATGAAACTGTAAGTATTTCGACCGAAAATAACAGAGTCATTTTTTTCTGATAGTTCTATTGATTGCCTTGTTTTGTTAAGTACTAGGTTTCCCATCATGCTTTGTGCTAGAGACTCGTGCTCGTGCACATTGGCTATCAAACTTTGTCAAAGACATAACTACCTAAATTATCATAAAGTCTAATTTTGATTTTTTCAAACTTGATGTAGCTACTTTTGGTATCAAATGAATTTAACAAGCATGTTAGTGATTGGGTTTCCTGTGTCACACCAAGAAAGAAAGGAAATTTGATGACATGAGAAACCTATACTACATAGGGCATTTGCATTATGGCATCATCAACTACAACTACCAGAATTCCTTGTACACTTTCTTTTGTTCAGTTAATTCTCTATTCTAATGAGGAAATACAAATTTGAAGAAATTCACGAAGCATTTTGGAAGAAGTAAAATTACACCATCACGCAAGCAGCCTATTACAGTGCAATGCGCAAAAGTATGACCATATTTAATGCATTCGTATACTTCCATGCACAGGCCTTAGTACATTAAAATGAAACACCTTGGTGCGAAGCTGGCTGGTTTTACCAAATAAGGCATGTAAAGGTTCGTTTGGCAGGAAAATGCCCTTGCATAGATTAGAAGTATGCAAATGATACATTAAATTAATGTGGTCATACTTTTTTGCATTGCGCTGTAATGTCAATCACTGTCCCGTACTGTATCTTGATAATTCAATTCACTTCCAATTCTTGGTAGATAGAATTAAACCCTAACCTAATTACAGGCCAAACAAGAACAAGTATGGGGGAAATGACCTAGCATTAACTGGAAGAAGATAAATCTATATGAGTCTGAGGTGTTCAAGAAAGAGATAGACAGTTATTTTAATAGACTTATGCCATATTGGCCTTTCTGAGGTTGCACCAAAAAGTGGTAACAAAAAGGATGCAAGCAGACTCATGTGGCTGATTTATGCCACTATGGTGTTGGGGGGCTTCTTTAAGCCCTTGGGGTTTGGGTATAGATAGTTATCATAAAAAATACAGGAACTACAGAGGCATGAGTAGCATAGGAAAACTAAAAAGAAACAATTGATCACTTGGTACCATTATTCATTCAAATTTGAGTAGGGAAGGAGAGAGAAACTTTTTTCTAAGAGCTTCCAACACTTTCCATGCTTGCATCACTAGCCTGTAGACAAGGAAAAAATTGAAATGTTAAATACTGTGATTCTGGGCATTAAACATGTAAAACAATAATTTCTCCATTTATCAATGAATCATCACTGCTGCCAGGGGGTACTGTTTTCCCATTTCAGACCACATTGTCTTTTTCTTGAAAATATGATTATTTGTTTGAGTTGTATCCATGTCCATGTGTCTTCTTATGTGTCTTCTCATGAGGGCGTCAAAAGTTGTGCATCTTTCCAATCTTTTTCCTTTTCTTGGTTTGGCATTACAGAGGGGAGAAATATAATGGTGGCATTTTAAATTTGTGTACCCCCTTGAGAAAATCCTGGCAGCGTCCCTGTCTCATGTGCAACCATTAAACAAAGAAATGTTACTCTAGGGAATGACAAATGGTCTGAATTGAGAAAACATTATGCCTAAATGGATTTAGTCCATTGGACTGATATGTATTTTAGAAGAATTACTTGTGACAATGAAGCTGGCATTAAAGAACAATTAAAGAAAACATTTTTTAAATACAAACCTGGATAATAGCAATAATAACTCCAAATAATCCAATAGCACTGCCAAAAATCTCAACAATCAGTATCTGAAAATATAAAGGGCATAGCGGCTTAACAGACTATTAAAAGCAATGCATTTATGAAATGCTGTTTCAATGGGGGGAGGGGGGATGGTACAATAATGGTTAGTCTCCCCTGCAGTTGTTTTTTTAGTGTTGTCACGCAACCTGAGCATTTGTCGATGATGCTAAAAATGGCTGCAGGGGAGACTGAATATTGGTAAACAAATTAATTACCAAAAAATCAGCCAATCATGACAATTGAATTTTGGAAAAATCAACTAGTAGCACAAGATGGGAATCAAGAGTGGTAGCTGTATTGGTATCACACTTGCGCCCTTCACCTCTGCTTCTCAGGTTCAATTCCTGAACATGGCATCACATGTGAGTTGAGATTGTTAGGTCTCTCAATCAACCGTCCTTTGATTTGAGGATTTTCCTCCCTCTACAAACCCTAACATGCTAAATTCCAATTCAATCTGTGAGTTAGCTGTACCCTGACTTTTATCAGCCCAGTGACTGTTTAAAGATTCAATCTGTGAGTTAATTGGCTGTGCCCTGATCTTGATCAGCCCAGAGGCTGTTAAAGGGTAAAGATCCTTATTTATTTACCTTGACAAAGAGTGAACCATTCTGAGCATCAGCAAGAGCAGCACCACTAGAGAAAAGAATAAAATTGTGTTCCTTGGTATAAATCATTTGAATGAATGTCATGATTCTCAATAACAGTGTAAACTAAAGACAAACACTGCATTCTCTGCTTAATTATCTACACACATTTTTATTGAAAACTTGCTATTTAGTAGGTAAAATATTGCAAACACAACCAAAATCTTTATTTATAGATTGATGATTCTTCAAACATTGGTATCATGTTTTCCAAGCTTTCAGGCTAAGTGCTCATCTTCAGGGAATGTTACAAAAAATTGTTACGAGTCATTAACAATGTTTAGGAAATAATATGCAAAAGATAAAGTGCTCACATTGATAGCATTTTTGTGGTTTCTAACCATTGTAAATGAAGTGTACCCGGAAAAAGGCACTTTACCTTCCAACAATTCCAACACAAACCCCACAGCAGAGGTTACAAAACCCAACAGTCAGTCCAGCTCCAAACACTTTGTATCCTGCAAAAAAAGGGACTTGTCAGAAATTAACAGGAGGGAATGAGATTTCACGTTAAGTGTGGACAAGTCCTTTCCTTATGGTGGTTTCAAACCATGTAAACACCTTGTCGAACTATGCCCCTTCAAGCCTGTTCCATGCTTCTGAAACCTAAATCACCCCAGACATCTGCCATTTGGGCTCCTTTCAATTAAATTTACGACAGGCTGAGTGCATTCTAATCATGAGAGATAAACTTTCCCGCGACCTTGGAATATTTATCACTCTCCATCCAAATAACCTGGAATGCTCTCGGCTCATCTTAAATGTGATTGACAGAAGCCAAACTGCCATACGTCTGGAATCTGGTAGGTTGCAAAAGCATGAAATGGCATATTAGAATTTGAAGAATTGATAGGTCATTCACAGTCGAACCATCTCATGTGTTGCTATAATTAAGGTTGGATGATTCAATTAATTTTTAAAAATTTTTATTTCAAATTTTGACTTCTGATTTGTTGAATGCTATATAGTATTCCCAAAGTATACAGTCCTTTGACTAAACGTTGTTATTGATCCGATCATCCCTACACGCCTAGACCGAAAAGGATAACGGGTAAATTACCCAGAACTTGTGTCATCCAAACTGCTCGCCAGTTTAAATCTTCGCCATATGCTCGAGGCATGGTTTTAGCAAATTAAATGGTATCGGAAAAAAACAGCGAGCTCAAGACGTGTTAGATGTGTGGCAGCTAGTAACTGTGAATTATCCCCACGATCCTTTTCGGTCTAGGCGCGTAGGGATGAAACCAATCAAACGACAACGTTTAGTCAAAGGACTGTATACCTAAGCTTGTAAGTAGTAGTTATTATTCAAATGATCCAATCACAATCAGAGATCTTAATCAGGGCCTGATTTGAAATCAAAATACAAAAAAAATTAAATCTTCCTAAAGATATTTCTAGGATAAGAAATAGCTTTTTGAAATCATTATGCATATCTCTCTCTTGATGAAGGCCTGTGTTGCAAAGACAAATATCCAGCAATCTAAAGGTTTTAAGTCAGAGACATCTTTTATTTATTTTATTTCAGAATGCCTGACTGGTCCTACAACATTTGTATAACCTTCCTACTTTGAAAGGAATGCATGAGCTGGTTTGTCTGTAAGACATAATTAACAATGATCCCAAATAATGATAATATAATAAACTAACCTGCTGTAAACAATTCTATTTGGCCTTTTGCACTGAGACCTTTATATTCTATGGGCTATTCACAAAGAAAAATAAAAAAATAATTAACCACACAAAAGTATTCGATATTATTTCAAAAATAAATAAATAAAATCATTTGGGAAGCACATGTGGTGTAGTAGTGAAAAAGTTCACCTCTCACCAAGGTGACCAACTCAGTGCTTATGTAAGTAGAGTTGTTTGTCCGTTTTCTTCTTTGTTTTAAGGGTTTCTTTTCTGGGTTTCCCAGTGTTTCCTCTCAGCAAAATTCAACTATTTTAAAATTCCAATTTGAATCCAGTGAAAGAAAAGCCAAGCAGTAGAACCATTGTTAATTCCCATAATTATTTATTTACTTAATTTTCATTTTCATTTTGTTATTTGTTACCAAAGTTACCAAAGTTAGGAGAAAAATAGTCTTAACTAGAAAGAAAGGCCATTTACTTACAGCGATGTAGTTGCTAAGTACAATGGACATGATGATCCCATAGATTGCCACAGCTTCACAGAAGATAATACTAAAGTATGAAAAAACAAGAAGATCAGAATCAACTAGAGCAACAGGTAATAATATGTAATAATAATAATAATAATTATTATTATTATTAATTAGAGCTTTCTTTCTACCAAAATCTAAATATGTACCCTTGGATACATTTCTTTTTATTACTGCCAAGGTTTGAGTCTATTGTTTCAGTTTATTTACTTTTTACTCCGGCTTTCAAAGAAATGCCCGAGGTATAAATTGGGCTTTATTTGCATTCTGTCACAAATCGCAGTTGCGTTCAAAGCGCATGTGCAAGTTCTATGTGCGTGCGTAGTATGCGCCACATAAGCACATGGTCGAGCAATGGTCAATGATGACAGTGTTCACGAAGATACTTTTGATTTTCTGCTATGAAGCACAGTAGATAAAGAGTTGGAAATCATGTACACCCAATCTAGGAAGTGGGTGACCTTGCAAGCATAATTCAGCCACCCGCTTTTGGGTCTCTAAAATTGGTGAGAAATAAGTTGGAAAAGTCCTTCATCTGGCAAGTGTGATTCTGGTTGGGCTGCCTGTGCTTTATTTAGTGCGTGTGAACTAATAAGGAGATGAAGGACTTGAGAAAGTCTTCAAAAAGGGCCACAGGATCATTATCCACTGGGTATCAAGTGCTACACTTCTAAAAACAAGGACCATTATGATTAGGCACTTGACTGTTCATATATCAATTATTGATGGTTTTCAACCATTCCCAAGAGAATTAAATAACAAAAGACACGGTGGCCATGTTGGAGGATATAACAAAAGAATTCATAAACAATTCTTTTGTTAAGTCCCTCCAACATGGCCATCGTGAAAACCATCAACAAAGTACCTGATGAGATTCTTGGCTTTAATTCTTGGTGCCTTAACACCACCACCACAAATACTTGCTCCTGTTAACAGGATACCCCTAACGATAATTTCACGACATTAGTATCATAGTATTCTTGTACATAGGATGTTTATTGAAATGAAAAACTCTAATCGCTATGTTTGCTTGTTAGTTTAATATCTTTTTCAGTTACAAGTAGATAGCTTGCTCAGTTGTAAGTTTTTGCAAGTCACAGTCCTGAAAATGGTCAATATGGCTGAAAGCTGGGCCATAAAATTAACCTATAAAACATGATGGATACAGTTTTTCAATTTAACATTAGTACAGTCACTCAATTGACTACATAGTGTACATAGTAATAGACCTCTTGCAGCATGTTGGAATGCAGCTCAATCTGGGGGACAAAATAATGGGTTCCAATATTCTCAGGGGAATGGAATTTTTTTTGTCCCCCAGATTGAGTTGCTTTGACGTCACATGCAAGGGGTCTATAGCAATGTTGATGATCTTACCAGGCAGCTCCAACTACTGATAAGGCGATGGACAAACCAATGCCTATGCACGACCACATAAATGGGGATGTTGATCCTAGAAACCTTTAATGTAGACATAATGTTCACGATTTTATTCATTTATTTCTAATCTTTTATTTCCATAACAGCTACCCTGTTACATGTAGTTGAAACTACATGTAGTCAAATAAGGTTAATTATCTTCTAGTTTCCCAATGAGTTAGTGCTGCAGGGACAGCCAAACCGGAGGGTTTGTGAAATCTTAATACATTTTCACTAAACTTAGCCCCCCCACCTTGCCATACAATTTCACTATTGAGCCCCCCCAATCAAAAAACTGCTCCGCCCTCTGCCGCAGACATGAATTAGTATTACAGCCATAGCTTACAAATAGTGTAACGGAGCATTTATTCATTAGCCCACAAAATTGGAGTCCACCAGGGGTAGGTAGGTGGGTATATTGATTAGGGTACACGTAGCTTGCATTCTTGGGGTACATATTACCTCATTGCCACCATGTTGGTTGACAATACGGAACATTCCTCATTAAGCTTCTCTTGTTAGATCAACCATGACGGCAGCTGTTTCATTGTCATTTATATCTCAAGGGATTTTTTGGCCATGCAGTTGCACACCAAGTATAAGTTTACAATATTTTTTTTGGATTATATATATAGGAGGGTAATAAAATGCCATACAAGGGCATGAGAAATGGGTATGAAACTCTTGTTTCCTCCCAAAAGGTTAATGTAATACTGCAATGTCATAACAAGTTTTGTTTTTTTTCAAAGCCTCCTTTGAAACCCTCCTATGCATTCCTTTAGAATATAGGATCCAAAATAATTTTAAAACTAAAACACTATTAGTTAGCTCAAATTTAAAATTCCTGTTCCCAGAAAAAAATCCAATACTTACCATCCTATATCAAAGCGTTGACCTAATCCAGAGAGATTATAATATAACCCTAAACGAAGCATCAAGAATAGATCAGAAAATGGAAGCTGACGTGTTTTAATACTGATCAAAAATCAAGGGTAAAATAACAATTCGCATTCGCATTCCCTGATTTATAATTAAGATATACTTAGGAAATATATCAAGCTGCCTCAATTCCAGATTTTGGCATCAAAAGATTGAATTCTAGTGAAGAGAACAGCCCAAATTCTGATTATCATTCAAAACATTCGTCGGCCATCTTGTATTTTTCAGTATCGATTCAAACGTTTTATTTTACACTTACCGACACCAATGAGGATAAAAAAGGCCAGGGAATAAACTGTATTATAGTAAGATGAGTTGCTACTTATCGTATACGCCATATTTTAAAGGAAAACGTTGTTTTATGCTAAATAATCTTTCATATTTTTCAGCCTAGTACTCCATTTTGGTAATGCTTCGCTCATGTGACAGAAGAGAAACCGAAGATAGGCCGAGTTTGACCCGAGCTAAACCCGAATACATCTCACGGTGCGCGAAGTATTGTTGGTTAAATGTTGATTCCCATTTCTTTGTTGAAACAGTTTGGAAAATAACAAAAATGAAATTATTTAGATATTTTATTACTACCACTATTGTAGAAGTGGGAACCGCTATCGCTGAAGCTGCTATTCACAAAGTTTGATTATCTTGTTAGCGGACTAGTTTCAACGACTTTCGTCCGATCAAAGAACTTCAATAAATATTTAAAAAAACAATTAAAATCTTTAATACAGTGTAAAATTTCCCTCAAGATATCGTTTGACGGTCTTTGAAATACTAGTCGGCGACTGAGGATTACCGCATCGTTTTTTTTTTTGCGTGTGTATGTGGAATATTTATCATGACACACAGGTCCGGTGTAACTATTGTTGCTAAGAAGGGAAAGGGATGACTTCAGAAATTGCCCTATTTCACTATGACGTCACTGTGTGGGGGATAGAATCGCCAAATCCAATAGAAAATTCAACAATAAAATATTTGCTCCTAGCGAAACAGTTTAATCTAAAATGGCCTGGTTTTCAGATATAATATTTGTTAATATGTACTAAAAATGTTCTGAGCGTTTGCTAGCTCGTGGATTGATATGGGTTTTAGAATTTTCGGTGAATTTGCGTTGATTTGACCCCCTCCGACGACCATGATCCTTTGCGTTTAAACAATAGATTGTTTTGATGTGACGTCATAGTGAAATAGGGCAATTAAGTCGGCAGCTTTTCGGCCAATGATGTGGACATGAAATTCATAATTTATCGGCTATATTATACTGTATAAAGAGCTTTAGTGTTTACTGCTTTATCATCCTAACTGGTTGCCTCAAAGGGATACTGATTTTCTTAATTTTCTTCCTTCGCGTGTTCCTTAGCACTGTTTCAGCTCTATGGATGGTTCTTATGACTTCCTACCCAGCCCTCTTACGGAAATCCGTCCTCATTATTTTTGGGTCTAACGTAACAAGCTCTGTGATTGGTCAGAAAATTGCAAATGTCAATGAATGAATGACAAGCTACGTTAACCAAGTACTCATAAGTGAGTGTGAAAAGTGACGATCTGGAGTCACCTTTCTTCGTCTCTCATCAACAATGACACAATAGTATTGTTTATAGAAAAACATCTATAAGTATTTAAGCGCAATTACTAGTAAGGAGAAATATTTAGGTAAGAGCAATCTGACCACTGGAAGCCAATCTGCCATATACAGTTTAAACTCTTGAGTCACACATATACCAAAACAAAACAAGATAAACATCGTTAAGAGAAACAACTTTGACCGATTGTCAAGATCTATGGAGAATGATGTTGTACTCTTTTATACAGCAAATAGAATATTAATCGGCTTAAAATGGAATCACGAGAGAAGAAAATACTGAGTTGACGAAGTCATGTAAGCTGCGTACCGTCTTGAACACGTGGAATCCCAACGCTGGACTGTTCAATTATTTTTAATGTTTATACGCAGAAATTTAGTCTACGCTGTCAAGATCGCCTTGGATAGTGGCTTTAAAGCATGTCTCTTTTTAAGTCTTTGCCTTCTAGTGCTAGTCTTGATAGAAGATGGACCATCGCATGTCATTTCGAATCAAGAACCAAGACATTTCGATGTTGTGAAGGCGTCGAGAATCGAACTAGTGCAACGAGAACTACTCAATGAAAATGCGAAGGGAAGATACGACGAGCAAGGCTTCGTACCAAAGACATCAGATATCGCAGATCGAGTGTTCGAGATTATTCCCGACGTTAAAAATACCTCAGAGAACGAAACAGAATTGTATCAAGTAGATGCTACGCAAAATACTCATGCAATCAAATCGACTTCGAAGTTCTTGTTCGTTTTACATCATTATGAACAGCTTGGAAAAGCCACCCATAATTTGGTCCAACTGTGTGCTATAGCCAAACAAATGAAGAGATTCGTTGTCGAACCTTTCGTTCGTGATTCAAGAATGTGTGGCGTCCCAGGAGGATGGTCTGGCCAGCAGAGGAAAAGGAGTAGATTATTCCGACCATTTTCGACATACTTTGATGTTGATGTCTTCAATAATTTGTTGTCGTCTTTTGGTTATGCGACCATGAAAAAATTAGAGACCTTTAAAACAAGTTGCTCAAACGAAAAAACTACAATTGTTCATTTTATTTATGCTGATGTAGATGCAGAACAGAGCCTGAGAAAGTGGTATAATCTATCTGTTGATCAGTACATCAAGGTTAAGAATGATGTTCAGAGACGTGGTTATTGTGATTGTCCTTTTATTGATAAGGGTCTGAATATTTCCAACAGGATTGGCGATTTAAATGTTGGTCGTGAACTGTGCGTCGATCCAGAGAAAATTCGCAATATCGATGAGTTTGAGGACCAAGTTTTGCAAAATGATAGATGCGCTGTCATTGTACATTGGAGAGGAATTGGGAAAAATCGTACTAATTTTAGACCCAGGGTAAAACTCAAGCCATGGAGTCTGGTAACTTCTTTAAAGCACAGTAATTTGATCAGAAATGAAGTTGCAAGATTCAAAGAAGTGTCTTTTATTGATAATCACCCTTATATTGCGATTCATATCAGATCTGAAAGACAACTGCAATGGTATGGGATTGAAAAATTAAATAAATGCATTGCAGTTATGATTCAACAAGTAGAAAAACTGAAAGAGATGCATAAAATTGATAAAATATTCCTTTCCACTGATCTTAGTGCTTATGGTTCAGATACTTTGATTTTTCCATCAGCTCAGGACACAGAATTCAAACAAAAACTTGGCACAATACAAACTGAAATGTTAAAACAACTCCAGCCTCTGTCTTATGCTCCGCATACCAAGAGGAACTCTGTTCTCTTTGACAAAGGTGTCGTTGCAATTACTGAAATGAATTTGCTTTTTGACAGCAGTCACCTGGTTACCATAGGCTCAGGTACATTTCAGCAATGGATAATTGATGTCTTCATCAAAAAGTACTCCAAAGACAAACATCAGAATTGGACGATAACAAGAGTCTGTAATAGAGAAGAGAAAAGAAATGTCAAAATATGAAAATCTGGAAATGTATATTCCTTCCTCACCCAGGGGCTGGACCAACAGCGACAGCAGTCTCTCGAATAGGAAACAGCAGGGCTGATGTACGATAATTTCAGATATATGCCCTGGACTTGGTTTTTTTTAGGTTATTTTTAGTTAGCTCTTTGCAAATCAGTAGTTAAGACACTTTAATGTTTTTAAAAACAGAAGTTTTAACCTATGTAAATGCTAAGTAAATATTCTTGATGTTTAAAATATTTTTCATGTATTATATTATTTATTTTTATGGCATGAATTTGCTTGCTGTTGTAAAGTTATTTCAATGAATCTTTTAAAGTATAAAATAATAATATTTTGAAAATAGTTTTTTGTATCTTTAATTTTAAGCTCTTAATACAGCTATAAGCAATTTTACACCTTGATATGGTACATAAGCAAGACTTTCAATTCAAAGTTGTGTGCATGCTTTGATATTACAAATATTATCATATTTAATTTCAGATGGTGAGCAGACACTCATCAGCCTACCTTGTTAGCAAAATAATCATTGTCTACAGTCTGTTCAAATGTAATTTTAGCTCAGTAAAATTCCTTTATAATGATTGTTCATGCCTACAAGCATCAAGTTTCAAGTATTGTAATGATTAAATTAATTATTGCTCAAATTCACACACAAATGACAAGATGGATTCGACAAGATCTGTCATCAAGCATTTATACATCAGTGTCTGAGAATCTAAAAAATTCCTAAAGGATTTTAATCCCAAGGAATATGTCATTTCCTGTTAATTCATAATGCAAAAGCAAAGATATTTTTTTTCAAACTTGTTAAATCTACAATGTTAATGTTTATATATTTGTTTTAATAAACAAAGACATGCCTTTCTGTTACTTTCTGTGTTTTGTTATTCATCAGTGATAAGCAGTTGTTGTTCATTAGGTATGGTGGTTTACCACAGTTGATTCTACCGTCTGCTTGGACTGACCACACTAGCAGCTTTTTAGTGGTTTCCCTTCCTTTTTTCCTCATTCTAGATTGTACTGATCAGTCCTGAAGAGTAAAATGGGAGCTGGGATTTGCCTATTTAATGTTGGGCTGGGAAAATGGGATTAAAAGCACTGGGAACGGGATTCACAAGTAAAAAACAATCAAAAATGGGAATGGGATTGCGATTTGAGCAAAACATCGGCTGGGACTTTGGGATTTGGTCAAAATGGGGGCTGGACCTGGGGCTGGAATTAGGACCCCTCCTTCAGGACCATGGACATGATCAAGTTCCTTTTTGCTACTGTTCTTGGGTGCTCTTTTTGTAATGCTATGCCAGTCAATGTGGCTGTCACATGATATATATATATAATAGATTTTCTCCACATGGCCTTGCATTTAAGCGTTTCAGAATTTTACCAAACTTTGCACGTTTTTTCGTCATATTTTATCTCCTGTGCTGACATTATTTACATACGACTATGATACATCATTTCGGGCTTGTATACAACATGAAACAAAACCTGTATGAATCCTTTTGAAATCAGAATTCAAATCTTAGCCTTTTTTCTTGATTCGATGCTTTAAAATATTTTAGGAACCAAAAAAATAAAATAAAATAATGATTAATGACATTGTAGCTGATCAAATTCAAATTCAATGCACATTCCTAACATTCTTGCACACATTATTTTTAAAACATTTCCCGTCATGCAACTGGAGCGTTCAACACTTGTCCTTGCCTTTTCAGTATACGGTATATTTGCTTTTTTATTATTATTTATATTTAATCATTTAATTTTCCTTTTTGCTCTATCGTGAATTTCTTTTCTTTTTTTCCTTGCCTTTCGTTAATCTTGGATGACAGGTAAATTTATTGTTAGACCTATTTTTTTAAGTCTCGTGATCTTTCATTTTCATTACGTTTAATTAGGTTATAAAACAATCCACATTTCATGAAGTTTTTCCATTTTATTTTTACCAACCAAATAGGAATATAACACCCGATGAAAGATTGATTTTAACGGCTGATTCAAGATGTCAATACGTAAAGTTCACAATGCTTACTGTGCCCTCGATGTCATCTGTTTTGTTTTGGTTGGCTTTGCAAACCTTCTTCTTCATGTCACAAACATCCAGCCTTCGAAACGAGGATTTCATTGCGATGATGAGTCCATCACAATGCCATTTAGAGAAGAAACTATTTCTACTTTAACAGCACTGTTTGTTGGTCTAGCACTTGGAGTATTAACGGTAATATTGGATTACAACTTGACTTCAATTTTCAAAAGCTAAGCGTTGAAAACTAATAAGCTTTATATCTTGTTTGACTTTTGGCTGCACAAACGAAAATTGTTATGTGAATGTTATCATCTAAGATCATCTAATACATCTACTTAACAACTCATAGATAAAACTAATAGGTTTTAAATTGCGAATTCATGGCCGTAATATTATTTTGATTTTTGATTATTATAGATTATAGTCTGTGAGATCCTTCGCCATTTTGTCTTCAAGTTCAAACCTCGAGGTGCAGGGAGAGACAATTTCTATATCAAACTTGGCCCAATAACGTTGAAAGCATGGCAGAGAAGGTAAATCTTAAAATAAAATTGACTTTAGAAAAGAAAATATATTTATAAAACTTTTTTGTATATGTTARTGACCACTATAACATCTAAATGGGTCACTAATTTCCTTGGAGCTGACATAAATTTTCTTTTTTTCACTAGGATTTTGTTTCTTATATTCATGTTTGGTTTTGGAGCTGTTGTAGCGAACCTATTCACTGATGCTGGAAAGCTGTTGATAGGTCGACTTCGACCATATTTTTTAGCTGTTTGCAAACCTGACTTCAGCAAAGTTAACTGCAGTGCAGGGAAATTCATCACTGAAGATATTTGCACTGGGGACAAGAAACAGATTACTGAAGCAAGGTTAGTCAGGTTAACAAATATATAAACTATAAATACAATTTTTCTTTCGATATAGGTCATTGCACATAAAGTTATGTACTGCATTTTGTATGCTTCTCAGTTGAGCTTGGAGCAACAAGGTAATGTTACTGAGTAAGAAGTTTCGTGAATGAAATGTGCATGTTGTCAGGGTTAACATAATCACTGTAACTGCACTTTATCGCCGGTGACATCAGTATTGTACTTGCTTCCTGTTTAATACTTTTGATAATGAATACATGCATGCGCATTTCACTAACAAAACTTTGTGGCAAAACTTTTACCATGTCAAGCTCAACAGAGAAGCGTAACCTTTTTTTTTTTGAGTCACACTATATTGTCTCTATTTTACAGGTACATCAACTATATTTTATAAAAGTCATACATTATATCATTTTTTTCATATACAAATAAACACAATGTCTGTTTTCAGAATGTCTTTCCCTTCTGGCCATTCAACATTTTCCATGTATTGTACAGTGTTTGTAGCTGTAAGTATTTAAACAATAATCAATAAAAAATTTAGATGAATTTTATCCATCCATTTATCTATTTATGTACTCATCAAATCATTGACACAATATATACATTCCTCTGTCAATGCATTTTTCCATACATGCACTCATCTATCCATCCCCAACCTTAGTGGTGAATTCARAAAGATTTCAATGGGGTGACTGTTACCTAGAAAGGCTTGGCATCACCTAGCATCCTTTTTTAGGTTTTAATTGGCTTCATTCACGTTATTATTTCTAAACTCCATAGAAGAATTGCCAGCCTCCCAATCTCCCCGGATCTGCCCTTGCACCTAAGCACCCTGATCCATGCATGGATTGACTTGACATGCATGCATTTTTTTAATGTGCCATTCTTCTTTTTTGGAATTCATGTTATATGACCTTGTTATCTGATTATATCCATGTTTTTGATCATTCTCAATCCACATTCAGATGTACCTAGAGACAGCTATCCCAACCAGGAAAACTACTCTTTTCAAGCCATTACTTCAAATTTCAGTGATCATGCTTGGTGTTCTGTGTGCTTTGAGCAGAATCTTTGACTACTGGCATCACTGGGGTGATGTTCTGACAGGAATGGCATTAGGAACACTTGTGGCAACATTTATTGTAAGTATCAAAAAACTTGAATGGCTTGCAGTGAGAATGAGAGACAGTGACTACTTAGCAAACACTTGAAAGGCTTGTTGTAGGAGGAGGGAGAATTCTGAGAGTATCTTCCTGTAGGGAACATTTGAATGGCTTTCAGTGGAAGGAAGGAAGGCAGCTTGTCAGAATGACATTTAGTAGGAAACATTTGAATGGCTTCTAGTAAGGAACACTCAAATGGCTTCCAGGGAAAAAAATGTTTCAAGAGAGAGTTGATTTCACACACAAAAAAATGTAATCTACTGAAATGATTAAGCCATTAATGAACTTAAGAAGAAATGGCTGACTCGTTTTTTTCTGTTGAATCTTGTTGACATGCAAAATAGGGCTATTAAGACACCTACTCTCTGTGACAATCTTTGTTTGTCTCTCTAACTTACAGGTATTCAAGCCCTTATCACTATTCTCCAGTAATGCTGCTACAGAATATGACGTCAGTGTCAGGCAGCCCAGTGATGTAGAGGCTGTCCAAGTACAAAGAAATTCCCAATTGTCGGAAATTGCTTCCTGACAACATTGCAGTCTTTTGCTTTTATCCATTGCATGTTTTCGGCCAATATCAGCCTTAACTTTAGGGCTGGTTCACACGTCATTATAAGCATAAACATAAGCATAAGAAACATAGTACTATTGTAATTCTTATGCTTATGCTTATGTACACCCGGTTCACACTTTGGATTTGACAAGCATCAGCATAAGAAAAAGGAAAAGTTTCCATTCCTTATGCTTATGCTTTGTGCAAGCCCAGCTGTTCACACTTGTGTTTCTTATGCTTATGTTTATGTTTATGCTTATATTAAAGTGTGAACCAGCCCTTATTATATCTTCTTCATGATAATCAAGACTGTTCTCAAATATTTTTAGGTCAGCTACACATAGTATAAAATAAAAATAGATAACTTAGATAAAATGGTATGATAAATAAAATAGGAGAAGACCTCAAACAAACAAAATCCAAGCTGGGGGAAGGGTTTGGCAACCTCTGCACCTCCAATTTTCATGCAGGAAAAATATGCATTGAGAAAATTTGTGCAATCAGAGCTAAAACAAACAGTGAAAATTGTGCCACATCATAAACAGGGGAGGATCCAGGGGGTGTCCTGCAGTGAACTGGACACTCCCTAATGCCGTAGTCTTATAATAACTCTTATGCTTTTTTGAAGCATAATATCACCATATACATTCCTTTATTTGGGACACCCGCCTTAACAATTTCCTTGATCTGTTCCTGATAAATGTAAGTTTTAAAATAGGAGAGTCTCTTGTAATGAGTAGTTTCCTAAGTAATGCATGCATTTTGAACAGTCTTTTATTGCTGGTTCTCATAGCCATCATGTTGGATGAAATTAACAAAGATTTGTCATTAGTGTCTCTCGCTATATTAACGAGACTATCACCAATGACAACCAACATGTCTTTGTTATTTTATCTGTTGGGAATGCCTGAGAACCAGCAAATATAAATATTTTCTTAAACAATAGCAGAAATATATATTTTTAAATCTTTAATATTGTTGGGTGTCACTCAACATCATTTCCTTTCTCATGCGGAATGTTCATCAGCTGAATTGCAATTTTCTAATGGAGTTCTTTCTATTGACAGCACATGGTGGTCAGTGTTTGACCATCATTTGGAGCAGATAATGAGATTCAAAGACTTTTATCAGCTGATTGAAACCCAGCAATAGAATTCTTTCTGGTTAACAGCACATGGTAGTCAGTGTTTGACCACCATTTGGATCAGATAATGAGATTCAAAGACTTTTATCAGCTGATTGAAACCCAGCAATAGAATTCTTTCTGGTTGACAGCACATGGTGGTTGGTGTTTGACCATCATTTGGAGCAGATAATGAGATTCAAAGACTTTTATCAGCTGATTGAAACCCAGTAATAGAATTCTTTCTGGTTGACAGCACA